TCATTGATTTTTGTGTGTCACGTGGTATGTTGAATGCAGCACTGGTTCAAATTAGGTATTTGTGACCTCAAAATACAAATTGTTTAGTTTTGTATGAATTAGGAACTCAGATTACTGATATTGACAAGCTGGAGTATAAAATAAGAACCTCTTCTCTTTTCTATTTGCCGAGATATCGCTCATGTAATGAATGAAACACAGTGGCCCCACTCACCTCTTACCATTTTTGGAAATGGTCCCTTATATATATATATAGTTCTACATATGACATGTGAATAACCAGTTGAAAGCTCAGAATCGTCCCCCTAGTGGCTTTTTCAGCCATTTTAAAGTTTTATGGCACCATCTCTTTCTTTCTAACCAAGATTTCAAGGAGGTAGGTTGTTTCTTTAGTCTACAAAATACAACTTGTTTAGTTAGCTTGATAAATCATAGTGGAATTCTATGGTATTCATGTAGTAATTTATGATTTTTTGGTTATTCAAATGTATATATAAAATCTACATGCAAAATTTCTTAAGGCTTGCCAAGCTACGACAAGCAGCAACCTAGTACAAAGGTCATAACTGGAAGAGATAATTTTTTGCTTTACTTCTTTATTTACTGTTCTATATTTTAAGAAAAATAAGTTTAAGAAGTTATTTGTAAATAGAAATAATCTATATACATATATAATGTATAATAATTCAAATGTGACTATATTTTCCAAAATACTAGTCCACTAAAACACAACCAAAACAGGTCACTTTGTAGACTAACGGTCAGTTATATACTACTGTATACAATAACATGAGTGCACGTGCGCTGCATCATTCTAACTTCTGCACTGTTAGCCAGGTACGGCTGAAAGGTCAATATAATAAAAATAATAAATATATATATAAATGTATAATGTTATGAGATTTAAGCTATTTAGTCTAAACAATTATGTTTTCATGTTATAACCTATAGTCATTCTAGAACAACAAAAGCATAATTTATATTTATTTACTAATTTTTTTTAAGGTGGTTATGAGATCACTCAATTTGACCAAACCCATCCAGATAATCATTAGTGAAAGAAACAGATAAAATATAAAGTTTTTTCTTAAAAAACATTTGATAACTATCTGGACATTATAAGGATTTTGCATGTGAAATTTGAAAATTTTCTGATGAATAAAAGTATTTTTAATCTTAAAATAAAAATTACTTTGCATGTTGGATAGGTAACAGAGAGAGGGAAATTCCATGAGATAACAAAGCATGAAGAAAGCCAAAATTGAGAAGCAACATATCATTGGTGGTGTTTCATGAATTCGTCATCCTCAAAGCAGAAAGGAATTCTTTGAAGACAGAAGAGTATGAATATGAGACTCTAAGACTTGCATAGGAAGCAGTTTCAAATGTTCTCTGAATTGTGATAATCAAGAATTCCAAATGTACCAAATACTGTGCTGGAATTAAATAAGATTAGAAGTTGTGGATGAGTTATCCAAGAGATGTAGCCAACTGGATAATTAATTGAATGTGAGTAAGAGCTTGAATGGATTAAATAAGCCAAATCTTCACATAAAAGTAAACTTTGATGTCAAGTGAATGGAGAAAAACAATGAAACTAAATTACACAAAAGAAAACATATGGAGCCGAAGCAAAGCCAAAGGGAATACCAGTGGACTGACAAGCTACCCCCACAACTGCAAAAAGAGTACTGGATGATTGATGAATAAGGATATATAGACAAGTATCTTGTATATCTAACATCATCCAACTGCCTCGACTATGAAACTTTCATAACAACATCATGTATTGCATTTTAAAATGAGATGTAGCCAGAAAAGAGCAAATGAGGCAGGTCTACAATTACCAAATTTCTTAGAACCACAAGCAGATGGGAGAAGTAGGATAAACAATTTGTTTCATTTCAAGGAGATCTGAGACTTCTTAATCCAGAGTTTTTGTGTGAGTGTTTTGGAAAAAACAGGAAAACATTAAAACCAGATTGAAGGAACTGTCAAACCCAAGGATCACAAAGCTAAGGGTCCCACAAAGTAACCATGATCTGAAACAATGACTCCAACAAATAGGATGGGAGATTCACACAGAACAAAAGATAGTCACTAAGTAGGTTGAGAGGACCAAATATGCCTATATCTAGTTTGGCCACTTGGTAGAATAGAAAAGAATGACTCAAGTAGTTGATGTTGACAGGAAGGAGATGAGCAATGCAAGCTGGAGAATGAACATTACTTACTTGTTGTGTCAAAAGGAATAACTACCAGAAGTGAGTCAAAATACTAACACTCTGATCAGCTCCTGCTGGCATGCCTCTCTTGAATGAGACAAGTGTAGATGAAAAATAATGAAAAGACAAATGCTACAGTGAAGAAGCTCACCTGAGATCTGCTGAAAAATTGGAAGAGGTGGACAAGTATCTTGTAACACAGCATGATGCATAAGTGAGAGCAAAAGCTAAAGATGACAGCAATATAAAAATTTTACCCAACTAAAGAAATCTAGATTATTAGTAGTTGATAACTAATAATTACTTTGAAGAAGAAAATACGACAAATCATAACTTGTAGGGCAGAAAACTAATGATGGGTCAAAGAAGACAACCAGATGGAAGACCCCCCCAAAAAAAAGAAAATCTAAACTTGAGAAGATGAGTAGAAGCAGATGACCCCACTAAATACCTATTAAAATTTAGCTTATTTCTGAAACCATCAGTAGTGACTCAAAAATAAGAAGTTGAAAAATATAAAGTTTCAAGAACTGAATCATCCAACGTAAGTGTAATAAGTTCAAAGTTTAAAATAGAACATACCTGTGAAAAAAAAATCATACAAGAAATTTATTTAGAATTACATGACAATTCCTAAATAAATGAAAAAGCTGTGTGAAATATTTTTTTTATCTTGAGAAAAGGGTAGGTATTCTGCAAATAAGTGACCATAAGAATATAAAATCCACCAAGGATACCAGCAGACAATTCAGAATTAATGGCTTACAATGTTGTTACAGGATCTCCCTGCATGCTAAAGACAGACTAAATGTGTTAGGCCTTGAAAGAAAGTGTAGAATTTCCAATAATGGTAAAAATACAAACAGTATTAGTTATCATGGACAAAAGAATTCATAGTGACCAAGGTTAACAGCATGATTGTCAACAAGAAAAGCTGAATTATGGTAGGAAAGCAGAATATATGCAAGTTCACCTGACCCATGTGCAATAAGTCATTTGAAAGGCAGGAGAATTCTAGTTAAATTGATGCATACTTTGAATTGCCTCAATAACATTATAAACTTTGAGTCACATGGTTTTTTGACAGCATGAATGCAACTCAACATGGAGAGGCGATCAGTATTCCAGAGGAAAGTCTACCTGATTTGAAATAACATGCTAATGAGTGAAATGTTGTGTACTTGTTTTACTTCACACTAACTTCTAATAAAGCTTGTTTTACACTGTATACTATTTATTTTTGTCACTCTGTTACTCTAGCCTAAGTTACCTTATCTTCAGTATAAAAAATACAATTTAATATGTGCAGTATAAGATCATAAGAACAGGTAGGGTAAAAAGGCAATCTAACACACTGAGGTCATCTTTCCTCCTATAAAACCTATTAATCAAAGCCCTTTAAATATATAAATGCATATCTATCCAATGTAAGTTAAATACACTTGAACTATCAGCACATACACTACATCATCATAGAAAAATATGCAAGTTTAAAACCCTGGTAAAATAAAAAATAAATTTTACAAAAGAACAAGATTATTAAGGTTTTCAAATCTTAAGCTTATCACTCCTTATATTTAAAATGTTATAAAATGAAGTTGAAATCAACTTACCAATTGTAATATCACCTTTCAGTTCACAGTCTTTACATATCACAGCTCCTGATGCTATTTTCACATTACTTTGGCTGTACATAGAAATATAGCTCAATAATTGCATTTGTACATATTGCACCATTGTGTGAATATGTAAATCAACCACAAAAACGTATTAAAATAAATAGCATATATAAAGCTAATGGTTGGTCCACACTATATGCATATCTGCAACAATTAAAACCAAACCAAAAGATGTTTCTAATGGCAGGCCAGAAGTTTTAATTTTAATACAAAGACATACAACAAAGTTTTAAAATAAGAAAATGATAAGTACCTCTATCAAGCATTAATTCTCATTTTTAGTATTGACAGGAAATATTTCAGTGCAAGGCTTGAAGTTTGTCTAAATCATCAAGTTAACTAGACTGATTTGGGGATAGGTTTAAAAATAGGGAGCATCTGTTTCTCCACAATAACCTACAACTAAGTAGGTTAAAAAAATAAGTGTTATGAAAAACATTAAATGGCTTTATCAAGGATTTTTTAAACAAGAAGTGAGGTTAGTTTTAAGGTATTGGGGTTTATTTTGGTTTAAAAAAGATTTATGAAAAATTATTCAAGTCATTTTGCTATATGCAAAGGATTAAATAAAAAGTTTAGCATTTTTTAACACTAACACTAGAAGTATCTGTATCAAACTGTTAAAATTGAAGCCTTGGTTACTAGAAAGTTTGATATCACTGGTATTATGGATTTTTTATAATTAAATTGAAACTTATCTCCTACAGGCAATGTAAATAAAAGAAGGAGTTGAAAAATATCTGAATGCTCATGAGAGATGTGATATGTTGGAAATTGGTAACGATAAATTATATAGTTGAGAGAGAGAGAAATAGTTGCTTACTGGAGTGGAAAGAAGGAGGGTTGGCATCAGGCAGGTAGCCAGCCATAAAAGTCAAATCTTGCCAAGTAATGAAACATGGGTCTAAAAATATATGATTACAAAGCCAGGGTATCCCCTAGGAGCAAAGCACAGAATCATTTCCTTAGCTCCACAAAAAGTGGACTAAGGTAGACTTATTGGTCAAAAGAGGTGTGGCTTTTGAAGGTCAAAATAGATAGCTGGAATGTAGGAACATTGACAATGACATGAAGAATCACAGAGCATGGAGATGTCCTGAAGAGGAGAGTACAGATAGCATGCATACAAGAGATAAGATGGAAAGGAATAAAGGCACAGGAAACTGGAATAGATGACAAACTCGTCTTTTAATTTTATGGGACTACAGGGAAATGAGGTAGCATTGGTATTCAGCAAAGAAATGAAAGATAAGCTCGTCCTAAAGTAGTAGTAGAAGTGAAAAGCCTTAAGTAACAGAGTGATGGTGGTAAAGCTGGGAACTGAATGTGATATGCTGAATTACTGAATGTTGTATGTGGCTTTATACTATAGTATAGGCTATACAGTATACTCCACAAGTGGGATGAAGTGATAAAGACAAGCGCTAGTAGCTTAGTGTCTATAATTAGTAACATGCATAACATTTAAGCCTAACAATACGTTTAAATCTAACGAGTAACGTTAATAAGCAGAAACAGACGTACTATTAATATTAATGACTAGTAGTACTACATCTAATTCAGTAACTACTAGTACTACCAGTACCAGATTTATTCACAGGTACTTATACCTATCTAACTTCTAAGCCTAAAACTCAGCGATAATCTAAACAGCAAAATGTCAAACTACATTTTATTGTGTCAACTTAACCCATAACGTTGCCCTTAGATCAATATCTACTTTCTACGTTAGACAAAAAACAACTTAAATTTAAAGTGCCAAATACCTCACCTATGTTTTGCAGCCATTTTCAAGTTTATTGCCATCTAGTGTAATACGCTTAACAATTTAATTTAGAAAATACACTTTTCACATTCTTTGAAATATATAAAATAGAAAGGCAGCCATAAAAACAATTTATAAAAATATTTTGAATATCAAATATTCATTCTTCTTCAAATATGTGTTTGTTTTTCTCAAATAGTTACACACACGCAACTTAAACGTTTACTTAAATTATGATTATTCGCACTACTTCTAACTAATCAACGGCAACCACAGCCAATCCTTGGGCGACTCTTGTCTGAAAAAAAATTTCAAATTTGACATTCACTAAGTGTACCCACAATCCCACAAATCGGAGCGCGAATTTTCGGTAACGAACCGCGAACCATAAACCCTCAGATTCATGTCTGAGAAAGTTAACTACTAGGCCACATCCGGTTTAATAAGCAACGCAATTATTAAAAGTCAAATTAAACATTATATTCAATTTTTTATTTACCACTGTCAGCATTTGTAATTCTCTATCCCCTTTTTCATGCTGACTGTTAAGGTGTCTGTATGTATATCCAGGTAAAACTGAATTAGGTTCAGCGCTACAGTGAATAAATCCGCTAGATAACAGGAAATACGTTCAAGATATATCAAAGATTATATGGTATTGTACATGAAGCTCTCGCTACTCTGCTAAATTAGATCAATGATTCTCGGAAAATGTGTCCAATGTTTCACCTCGGACAAAATCACTGTAGCTCGGAAAGCAAAGGTTGCAAAGCCCTTTCGATGGTAATAGATTAGAGAAGAGGTAACTAATCGATATCAACTACCGCCAACTCTTGGACTACTCTTTTACCAACGAATAGTGGGATTGACTATCATATTATAATTCCCCATGGCTGAAAGAGCAAGCATGTTCAGTAACGAGGATTCGAACCTGCGACCCACAGGTTGCGAGTCGAGCACCCTAACCACTAAATAGAAAAAAGCTATTTTTATTGGTTATACATTTGTGCATCCAAAAAGAACACTTGTTTTTGAAAACTAACTTAAAAGTCAAGGATACATTTGTTTTGTTTATTTTCTTTTTAAAAGCAAAGCTACATTGGAAATCAAACCCCTGATTTTAGCGTTGTAAATCTGTCAACTTACCGCTGTCACATAGAGGGCTAAGGTTAAATGGGTAGGGCTTCTGTCATGGATTAGGAAAATATATGGATACCTCAGAATGTGGAAAAGTTAGAATGTTAAAGTTGTACATTTGACCTGGTCATTATTTACAGATACTTTAGAAGTTGCATTATTGAAGTTATAGAAACTAAAAGAGACAATTAAGAGGGAGCATGCACATCACGTTACAACACAAGTGAAGATTGGGAATTTTTAAATATTTCTCTCCAAAATTAAGAAGTTGAAACATCATATACAAATTTGAATTATAAACTACATATGTTATAATACCAAATTTATTAACATACCTTAATAATAACGTTGTTTAATTAATTCTGAATGTAACCCTGTAAAACGTCATGGCATGCATAGTGGACCAGTGTCATTGCTGAAAGAGTTAATTAACCAACTCAGATAACAATATGAGATCTACTCTAGTTGCAGGAAAGCGTTTTCGGTGTTACTGTAACATAACAAAACTACACAAAATCTACACTCTGGTACATCCATTTTTTCACTGTCTTATTGAAGCACCTCTTCCGTTGTACAGCAGCCGTTCCTAGCTGTTATTACACAAACTTGTGTGCTTAAACTAATGCAGAATTTAACCACTCCACAAATTCATGTGTACACTTTAGGATGTCAGTTTGAGGTTGATGACCACACATCACATTTACAGGAAGCAAACTTCTTGACTAAACTTTAGCATATTCAGTGAACAGCCTGTTGATCTATGTTCTATTGTACAATATATCATGATGATGATGAAAGGTAAGTTCTCATCCTAGTCACTTGTGTCTGGGTAAAAACATTAGCAAGGTTGGCTATTAAAGCTAGTTCCATACTCTGAGTGGATCTCTTTGGGTACTCCAAACTGGAGTTCTGAAGATATTATTTATTTCTGTCTCTGGGAGTTTACGAGTATTATCCAAAGTTATTGTCTGTAGAGGATTATTTGTTTGTTTTGAATTTCGCGCAAGGCACACAGGGGCTATTTGCACTAGCCGTCCCTAATTTAGCAGTGTACGTCTAGGGTGAAGGCAGTTAGTCATCACCACCCACCGCAAACTCTTGGGATACTCTTTTACCAACGAATAGTGTGATTGACCGTCACATTATAACGCCCCCATGATTGAAAGAGCGAGCATGTTTGGTGGGACGGGGATTCGAACCCGCGACCCACAGGTGGCGAGTCGAGCTCCCTTACCAACTGGCCATGCCGGGCTCTGTAGAGGAAAACCAACGATATGTTTTGCCGGATTTTACCCTGTTTAGGTAGACTTTTCGTCTGGGTGGTACACACTGTACAGTGTTTACACCAGTGCTGAACATCTTGGTGTACAGTTTATACACCAGTGCTGAACATCTTGACTTGAATGCTGACAGAAGAATTACCATCGAACATTAGTAGAAATACATGCTACATTTTGGCATCCTTCAATTTCTGTATCATTCAAAGTCTAAAGAATGTCATCCTTATAGCTCTGGGAACTAATAGCTGTAATACCAGTTGAGAACCGTTGCTCAGTGGTTGATAACAATGGTACAGCAAACTTTCTTGTATTCATAAATGATTGTAACAGTACTGTATGTTATATGTATCTTTGTTAAATTCCTCAGTCTTAGCTAGACATGATTTATCTTACTGCGTGGCAAGAAGCATTCATTCTCGAACTGGTTCATTTGCTTGATCTTCCCAGAGCTTCTGAAGTGTTAATCGTAGTATCGATTACAAATCCTCTACTGTATGGCTTATCATTATTATAGGATAAATTGTCTTATCTACCACACAATGTCCAAAATCCAGACATTTAATGAATGGACAGAATCTCACCATCTGTTAGGACTATCCATCTGCATTTCTGTGTTAAAAGCCCGAGTAGCAATGTATAATTAAATCATAACTATGCACTGTTTACAGAACTTTGACACAAATGTCACTTCAAAACACTTCAACATCTTGAGTAGTGCGGATAGTAAAGAGATGTTTTACCCTAAAGAAAATTTGTGGATACACAAGATGCGTTCTGAATTAAATGTTAATCAAACAGCGTCACATTTGCTCCTAATGCTATTATGCAATGTGCTATCATCTCTTCTACTATTTTACAAATATAACAACTGAAAGCAGTTATTTCCTTGATATACCCTATCTACATTCACAATCTATAAGCAATGAACTAGCATATGTGATTATTGGTTCTCAGTGGTGTAGTGGTAAATAAAGAAGTGAGGAAACATGTTTTGAAAGTGTTACTATTATTAGTATTTATTATGTCGCCTATACATAAAAACACATATTTCAGAAATATTAGCTGTAAATTGTAATTGAAATCTACATTTGAAAATGTTACAATAATAAAATTAATTTTGCCCCACCTTGGACTCTTGAATTACTGGATAACTTATTAACATAACTTTGAAACTTGGTCCATAGTGAGTTCCTTGGACTTGGCTAGTCTTGTTCGTGTATCTGTTGCTGAATGATGACACCTAAGCCATTTGTATACATAGTTGTCTGGTTTCCAGTTTTGAGTCGGTGCACATTTAATAGGTTTCAGTTTCAAACCTGCCTTTTCTTTTCACTAGAATATCATTTTCAGGTCTTTACCCACATACTTTAATGTGGAGCCAAATATCAAGACGTTGTAACATGGATCATTCCTTTTTCCATTGCAATTATTTTAGTGTAAGCTCCATTAACCCTTCTAAAGTAGCAGGTATGTAACAAAGGCCAAACTGCATGACACAAAACACATGCAAACCATCTCTTATGCTCAAAGCAACATTGGGTTTGTTCTTGCCGTCCAGTTAAACTGTCCGTATTAAAGTATTAAACCAATAGACCCTTCCAATGCATTCGGACATTCATCTACTTGTGAATTATTGTTTCCACCCAGGGCAAGCATGTTTGATGTGACGGGGATTCGAACCCGCGACCCAGGCCTGCTGTTGGCTTCTCCTGAACCTTTTGCACTTTTGATCAAAGCTAATAGCCTTGCCTACTTTGCACCTTGGCAAAGTAGAAGCAGTTCACTCAAAAGTGGCCCAACACTGCACAGACATAGTATGTACTTTGTTCTTCTCTTTCAGGAAGATGTCAAGGTGAAGGCATTGGCAACTTGTGTTGTGGCATATACAACATAGGAGGACTGATGTAGCTCTACCCATTCACTAGATACCATCGTGGCTGAATTGCAATGTTGGGATATGTGGGTGATCAGTTAACTCTCAGCTAGGTTTGAATCTGGCATGACATGACTGTGTGGTATATTCAGATAAACAAAATAATCATTCTATCCATCAGAGGTTTGTTGGGGATACTGATTATAGAGTACTACTAAAACTCTAAGTTAACTGATTCGATATTAAATATAATAATGAGACTTGACACAAATATATAGAACAAAATGCATAATTTTTATCAGACAACCAAACTGTCAGGTTTTATGTATGTATGGGCCAGATTCTTTAGAGTAGGTGTCTGTTACATTTTGGTGATAAATTCTAACAATAAATGAACATCACATAGTCCACTTGTTTTAAAATAATATATTAAAACAAGTCAAACGTATATACAAATGTTTATTATGCTGTTGGTTACCACAATTGGATTCAGAGATTTAAATAATTGTCTCTTTCTCATCAAAGTTTACACAGGCTGGTTCCATTACTTTAAAATACAATTTGACAAAACGAAATATTCTTCCTTCTCTGTTATTGCAATACTGTATGGGATAATTTCACTTTAAAATCACCACTATCACTGTTGATTATCACAGTTGTATCCAGAGCTTTAGATAATTGTCTCTTTTTCGTCAACGTTTACATATGCAAGTTTAATTATTTTAGAACACAATTGACAAGACAAGTTATTCTTCTTTATTCTGTTAATACAAT